CCTTTACTTAGCCTTTTAGAAAACATTTTCTCTTTCCAAAATCTTTTAATCCCTCAATTTGATTTCAAACACCCCCGAAGGTGTGTCCGAACCCCTCAAACCAGGGCTCTGATACCAACTTGTAATACAAGCCAAAAATTTCATTTTTGAAAACATATATTTAGCAAACATTCGAATTAAAACGTTTACTGATCATAACATTTTATAAAGATATCGCATGTCTGGAAAACATTTCATAAAACATAATAATGTCAGAGTACAAATCCCCAGGAAGATCTCATGATGCGGAATACGAAGCATGTGTGTGATGGGCCGCTACCGCGCCAGCTCTTTCCCCTTCGAAGAAGAGGTACCTGAAACCAAAACTGAAAACTGTAAGCACGAAGCTTAGTGAGTTCCTCCATCATACCGCATACCATACAATCACATATCATACATATTGCCAAGCATTTCTGGGGTGCCCGACCTATCCGGTACGACCATTCTGGGGTGCCGACCTACCCATGTCAAGCCATTCTGGGGTGCTGACTACCCATGTCAAGCCATTCTGGGGTGCTGACTACCCTTCGGTCCTGATGACCGAACCTCGGGGACTATTTCACCCCTACTGCCAGTATCACATATATCATAACATAACATATTATCAGACATATCTGGGGTGCCTGAACTACCCTTCGGTCCTAGCAACCGAACTCGGGGACTAGTCCCCTCCTACTACCTCTATGCATATAACGTAAAAAGCCAGCATGCAAACATATCATCATATACTGTCAGACGTATCTGGGGTGTCTGACTACCCTTCGGTCCTAACAACCGAACTCTACTACTATCACATACAACATATCATGCTAGCATATAACATATCAGGTAGTAGCAAACCTAGATGATATCACAAAGACAATCATCTATCATACATCTCCTACTGGTGGGCCGACATTGTGGCCTTAGACCCACCGCTACTAGAAGGTAACTCACCTCGTAGTAGCTGCTGATCTGTGTGGGAATGGTCTGTCTGCTGCTTCTGCTTCGGAAATCCTCCGGCTGTAATTCCCACCAAACACTTAGTCAAATACTGCTAACCGACCTCAGGGTAAACTGTCCATTTACCCTTAACAAGTCATGAGTCAAGTCACAGTCAATTGCCAGTTGACCAGACTCGCCGAGTTGGCTTGCCGACTCGCCGAGTCCCTTTCTCTATACCCAAGTCCAATAGTCCTTCATCCTACGCGCTGAGTTGTATGAACAACTCGCCGAGTTCGCCTTCATCCGAAGAACACTCTAAGCTGTGACTCACCGAGTTGTATGAACAACTCGTCGAGTTGTTCTTGAGACAAGAAGATTGCCATGAACTTGCCGAGTCATAGCATTGACTCGCTGAGTGACTTCATGAGTGAGTCTGGCTTCCAACCCACTAAGTCATACCCTATGACTCACTACTCCAACTCGCAAACACAAAAAGGGGAATAACCCGAGGACTCGCGACCCGACTCGCCGAGTCAGATGAACGACTCGCCGAGTCTGCCTCATGCAAAAACTATACACGCGATTTTGCTTGAATCCAGTCCATGCCATTCATAGATCTGGGTTCCTAGGGCCTGGTTTACACGTAAAGTTTCCAACTTTACGTGTAGATAATCACCAATGAAGGTTTTAGGGCTCAAAGTGCACCAAAAGGGGTAGATCTAGGACTTTCATGCAATATGACTCCATAAAGGCAGTAGATCCAAGCTCCAGGGACTAAATCATGCCTAGATCTAAAGGCTAACAACTTATTACAACCCACAAAGCACAAACAAGCTTGGAGAATGGCTCAAGAAGGACTTTCATGAAGCTATTAGGGACTACAAGTTTGAAAACAGAGGGGAAACGATCTATACCTCAAGGAAAACGTTGAGATGTCACAAAAATGCTTGGCCTCCTTCTCCTCTTCTTGATCTACTCTTCTTTCTCCTTAAAAACTTCAAGAACACACCCAAAACACTTCAATCTCATAAGGAAAAGGGCAAAAACGATGTTGGGGGCTCTGAGGGTGAATGGGGGCGAGCTTGGGGCGGAAATGAGGGTTTAAATAGGGTGCAAACCCTTGAAATTTAGGGTTTCATCAAACAGTGGTGACTCGCCGAGTCCAGAATATGGACTCGCCGAGTCGCCAACTTAAACGTACCCCCGGACCGCGTCCCTACTCGGCGAGTCGGACCTACAACTCGCCGAGTCCAAGGCTAAAATGATAAATACTTAGATACATTTTATGTACCAGGAACCAGGTGCTACAAGTATAACAAATGGCAAAAAAAATATATTAGAAAGACAGAAGAAAATTTTTAATCGGAAAAGCAATAAATGACAAGTAATATTATTAACTAGATGTGAGACTTATATATTATATGAGTTAATTTTAAAAAAAGTTAAATATAAATGTCAAAATATTTGAGAACTTTGAATTTATAACAAAATAAGAAAAATAATGAATTATTATAATGAATATATATTTTTTTATCTTTTAAATTTAAACAAATAATTTAAATGAATAAAAAAAACTAATAAATTTTGAATTTTTTGAAATCATACATACTTATAAAGTTAGCATTTTTTCTTGAATCTCATGCATTTGAAACCCCCATTTTTTTTTTCCTGTCACCACATTCATTTAAAACTCCCATGACTTTTCAATATCTTTATAATAATAATAATAATTATAATTTGGTAATTAGGTTAAATAAATATCAAACCTAAAGTGTAATCATATATAAACGAGTAAATTACACGAATGGTCCCTATGGTTTAGGGTAATTTACGCGTTTGGTCCCTAACTTATTTTTTTAACTCGGAAGGTCCCTACTGTTTGTTTTTGTTACACGCTTGGTCCCTATATCTTATCTAAAAAGACTATTATGCCCTTAATTTTTTTAATTTATTTAAATAAACACCCTTAATCCCACCCCCTCAACTTATCTCACCTACTCCATTATTTTTTCCTCTTTAAATAATAGTCTTTTTAGATAAGATAGGGACCAAACGCGTAACAAAAATAAACAGTAGGGACCAAACGCGTAACAAAAACAAACCATAAGGACCTTCCGAGTTAAAAAAATAAGTTAGGGACCAAGCACGCAAATTACCCCAAACCATAAGGACCATTCGTGTAATTTACTCTATATAAACTAAATTTCAATATTAAAATAATATCTTTACTTCTACTTATAAAATTATGTTTTTTATTAAAATAATATATTTACTTATCTTTATAAATGATGCATTTTTTCTTTCACCACATTCATTTGAAACTCACATGCATTTTTTCTTTCTCCACATTCATTTGAAATTTCCTTGACTTTTCAATTTTTTCTAATAATAAATATAAGTTGGTTAATAAGGTTAAATAAATATCAAACCTAAAGTGTAATCATATATAAATTAAATTTCAATATTAAAATAATATATTTACTTCTACTTATAAAGTTATGTTTTTATTTTATTTTTTTATTTTAACTTTTAACATATTATAGTTAATTTATTAGTTTTAATATATTGTTGGATGTAAGCCATTAACATTTTAAAGATACAATTTTGGAACAATTTGTATAATATACTTACATTATTAATTTAAATATAATATTATAGGGTAAACTTAAATATAAATTTTACTTTAACTTAAACAACCCAAAAAATATTTTATAAATAGTTAAAAATGATAAATTGTAGTGTCTTTCTAATAATGATTATAAGTTGGTTATTAAGGTTAAATAAATATCAAACCTAAAGTGTAATTATAAATAAACTAAATTTCAATTTTAAAATAATATCTTTATTTATACTTATAAACTTATGTCTTTAAGTTTTAACATATTATACTTAATTTAATAGATTTAAAATGTTGTTATATGTAAACCATTATCAGTTTAAAGCTACAACTTTTGAATAGTTTGGACAAAATACTTAAATTGTTAATTTAAATACAAAATTATAGTGTCAACTTAAATATAAATTTCAGTTCCACTTAAAAAACCAAAGAATATTTTGTAAATAGTTAAAAGTGATAAATTGTAGTGATAAATGCAAAAACTAAATTGTAATATCAATTTAACTTAAATATTTCCTAATGATATTTTTATAATCGTGAAATTTTTTTAAATAAGTAGCTTAAAATAATTTACAATCAAAATAGTTATATATATATATATATATATATATATATATATATATATATATATATATATATATATAATATTATATTGTTACCTTTAAAATAAAAAACAATGTTTGATATTTTAACAAGTTATAATGATAGAAATTAAAACATTAAGCAAATAAATTTTAAAAATTAATTATTAATAACAACAAATATAAATAACATTAAACCATATATTATATTTAAATTTATTCATGAGTAACTCGCTGATAGAAGTCATTCAACGATTGAGATTATGCAGTTATAATAGATTTATATATTATCATATAGTTCAAAATAATCTATATATTATATCAATTTAATATACAAATTATTATATCAAATTTAACAATAACGTTATTGTTATATTTAAAAAAACATATATTTGTAAAGACTTTAACTATATAAATGTTTCTGCGCAACGCGTGGGTATTCGCCTAGTTAAAAGATAAATTGATTAATGAAATTGATATCCATTTATTACTCTATTTATTGTAATTATTATATTAAATTATTATGTAAATTTTAATAAAATATAAAAACTCATAAAATGACATATGAAAAAAAAATTAGTTTAAAATAACTATAAAATGATATTTAATAGATTAAATAAGAAATCACAAATAAATAAAAAAAATTATTTATTAAAATAGATTAGAAGTATATTAGAGCACAACTAAATTATTTTTCTGAATATTAATTCAAATGAAAAGACTATTTTACCTACCACGAGTCCACGAGAATGACGTGACATGCACGTGGCCATAGACAACGATATTCTCATATTCCCCGTTTTCTCCTTCCCCCTTTTCATACACGCCAACAAGGCATCCGTATCATCAACCAACCGCTAAAGTTGTGGTCCAATTTACCCTCACGTTTCCTTTTAATCTACCTCCAAACCTACCATCGCCACGTTGACTCCCTTCTATTTTGAAAAAGTCAAAGGACTTAATCGTCATTATAACAAAATGTATACACACCAGCTGCAATTTGCAAACGCAAGTCTGTATCCGGAAGCTTCTGTTCTTCGATTTTTGGTGTTTTCTTTTGACCTTTGAATAAAAAAACCCCTTTAATTTCTACTAGGTTACAGCTATTATACATATATATTTCCTCACATCTCTTTCGTTGAATTCTTCGTAGTTTGCATCCAAGAACGTGATTCAGTCCCAGTTCGTTGTTTATTGCTTCGGTATGTTTCTGTTCGTTCTTCGTTCATCGTTCTTCACATCAATTTTGATAATTCTGCTTGTTTATTTTTGAGTTTTGCTGTTTAATGGCTTGGTTATCGGTTTACGTATGCTGAATTTTGTTGACTGATGGAAAATTTGTTAAATGGAATGCTTGATCCAAAATTGTAATATGTTTGTGTTTCTGATTAGTATAATCAGTTGTTTTGTTTGATGCGTATTGTAGTTTTTCCGGAATTTGATTTTGATCTACAAGTTTCTGTTTTGTTTTGAAAATTTTGAACAGTATGTGGCTATGTGCTACTTTTCACTTTGTATTTTTGTTCTAATAGTGCGTAGATCCTTTTGCATTGATAAAGGTCAAGATGTTTGTCTTGTTGTATGCCTTTCGGCTTTAATAATTTCCAGAAATTTTAATGTTAGATGTGCAGTTAATAGCAGTATCCATCAACATGTCACAATTTGTACTTCAAATTCTATATATGTAGTTATGTACTATGTGTTATGCCATATATAAAAGGCATAATGGAATATATAATCAAATTCTTTCTTACAGGATTTTCTTCTGAAAGAATTCAGACTTCTGGTATCTAGTTAGAATGCGTGCACCATCATTGTTTACACAATGCTTGCCCGGATTGCTGCCCAATGACCGGGTAGCTCAAAGCATGTCCATCACATCTGATAAGGAGATGCATCTGCCTTCACCTGCTGTTGAGATTCTACCCTCTAAGGTACTTTACCTTCTCACTTTCTCCACTCTAGCAACATCTTGAGCCTTTGAGTTTACACTTTACAGTATTCTTTTTAACAAGTTTCCCATTCCACTCCACCACAGATGGGATACCCTTACAGATATGCTGGAGAAAACATAGATTGTCAAGAAGTTAGCATCTTCAAGGTGCAATATACATCATCCCCTCATATTATTTCTACTAACTGCTCTTTTCTCAGATTCTGTAATAGTGATTTAATGCTTTTGCCTTCATTTTCAATGTAGGGAAGAGTTAGTGTCTCAGATATTATAGGTTCAGAGTTGAAATCATCAAAACCTGATGGTAACTACAATCTTGAATCACTCAACCTTAAAAAACTGTAGTTGTTAAAACAACTGCTCATATTTTCTTGACATGATTTTGTTGCAGCATCTTTGAAATCATGGGATAGCTCATTTGATCTTGTTAACATCCTTAAGCATGAGATTCGTGATGGACAGTTGAGCTTTAGAGGCAAAAGGGTACTTGAGGTATATACTCAGATTAATTATTATACTATTTTCTTTTTCCTGATTCACAAGATTACCCTAACTAAATATCCTTCTCTTTTCTCTTTTTTACAGCTTAGTTGTGGCCATGGAATCCCAGGGATCTTTGCTTGTCTAAAGGTACAATAATCTTGGATTAAAAAAAAAAATCGGGAAAAATGATTATTTACTAAGGTACATTGGTATTTCAGGGAGCTTCAACAGTGCATTTTCAAGATCTAAATGCAGAAACAATAAGACGTACAACAATCCCAAATGTCATGTCCAATCTTGAACAAGAAAGGGATAAACAAAGCAAACAGCCTGAAAGTCCACTTACTCCATCAAGACAAATTCTCTCTCCAACTGTTCATTTTTATGCTGGAGAATGGGAAGAGCTTCCTGGAGTTTTGTCTGTTGTTGAGAAGAATGTTCTAGAAGCATCACCAGTAATGAACCTTAGTTTCTCAGAAGATGATTTTATCGGTAGGTGTAGCTACAGCAGCCATGATGGTAGCATCATGGGACAAGAACATTCTTCTAGAAAGTCAACTGGAAGTAGGGTTTGGGAGAGGGCTAATGAGAGTGATGTTGGAGGTGGATATGATGTTATATTGATGACTGATATTCCACATTCAGGAACTTCTTTAAAGAAGCTTTATACACTCATTAAAAAGGTCAGTTTTTTAAGTTTTCAGTTTTGTTACTTTGTATATTACAAAAGAGTATTTGAATTTTCATTTAGGTTTCTGATTTATTAACTTTCTTGATAATCAGTGCTTGAAGCCTCCTTATGGAGTAGTATTCGTTGCTACTAAAAAAAATTATGTGGGGTTCAACAGCACAGCTCGACAACTAAGGAGCCTGGTAGATGAGGAGGGCATTTTTGGAAATAATTTAATTAAAGAAATGACAGACACAGAAATTTGGAAGTTTTTTCTTAAATGAACATATCAATTAGTAAGATTGCTAATCTTTCATTTTTTTATAATCTTTGGTATAGTTGCATGTCTAGAGCATTTTGCTTATATGTTCACTTTATAATTTGATTTATATAGTTGGAAATAAATAATGCTAGGCTCCCAATTCTGTTGCCTTGTGTTACCATTTTAATTTCATTTTTGAGCTCTACATTTTGATAGTTAGTGATCCTTTTAGTTTTTTTTTTTTAATTAGATAGCACGTGTATTTTTTTCCCCTTATTTGTATGATGAATTATTAAGTTTGCACCTGCTAATTTGGAGATCAAAAGTTTTGGGTTTGTTAAGTGAAGGTTCTATGTCTGTTAATTTGAAAATGAACAACAATGCAATGACTAAGAATTTGTCGACTGTGGTATCGTTGATATAGTTATTAATGGGAAAAAAAACAAGTCTCAAGGAAGCTAATTAAATTATTATGGATCAAATCACTTATGACTTATGAGATTGAAAACATTTGGCGGAAAACATGAAAACTGAAATTAAATTACCAAATTTCTTGTGATTCTAAAACCAATCTAAGAAACAAAACTAGTGTTGAAATTATTATTCTTCACATGCTACATTCTTCGTCGACTCTATCAATATTGCCATGACTATTGATGATGCGAAGTGGTGCTCCTTGGGTAGTTTCGGTAGGATTACCGCCTGTAATCGAACCCCGTGACACAAGAGGTAAACTCGTTACACGTTCTCTGGAGGTGATCCCGAAAAGACACTCCGACGGTCAAGTTAGTATCTATGAGAGAGGAGTAATGAAAGTATTAGCGTTAAGGACCTTACTGTTGAGAGTGTGGCTATCGACCTTAGATAGCAAGACATGAGAGGTGAGTCCTCCTTTAGGAGACATGAGCGCTCGTCTTGATACGGGACAGTGACACTTATTGGTGGAGACGTCATCTGCTTCCTGCCCTGGACTGTGATTAGTTCATGGGGGATGTTGGTTGTGGTGCGTGCACCACTAAGGTTGTCGACTAATACCACTTTGTCACTAGGTCGCTTTCCCGTCGTAATCTGGCCGAAAAAGGGTGTTTAAAAGCTGTCCCCTTGAGCGTTGCTTTCTAGACTAGCACATGATCGCTCCCGCACAGTCTCAAGCATGTGTTTCAAGGCATCGCCACCTGACATGGTTTGGTGTGGCCCGATGGGCCGCTATCAACTATGGGAAAAAATTATGTCTTAAAGGAAACTATAAGATTATTATGGATCAAATAACTTTTGAGCTTGAAAATATTTCTAACGTGGAAAACCTGAAACCTAAAACTAGATTTCCAAAACATTGATTGGAGTGAGATTTTTTTATTTTATTTTATTTTTTGATGCTTACAATCTAAGATCATGCCAATGTTAAATGTTGTTCTTCACCTCCTACAATCTCTAAACATCATGTAAATAAAATTGATATGTGTTTTGCAAGCAAGAAAGGAACATAACTTTTTTCTTTGTTCAAATAACAATCTAACGACTCATTTAGATTTTAATGTAAAAATCATGAAGGACGCCATAAGCAACAACAACAAGAAGAACTGATGAATTTTGAGCTAAAACGAAAAAGTTGGTTCAAATGATTTTTTTTGTCAAGTGAGGGAGGTTTTTTTTTCCTATTACGAGAGGATAAAATGGGAAATGTGAGATAAAAAGCTTAGGTGTAAACAATTTTTTTTAAGAATGTATGGTTTGTTCTGTAATTAACTATCTTTATTAATAATTTATTAATTTATCAGATTTGTTTTGTTTCTAATTATATTAAACGGTTTGGTGTTGATTATTTGATAAAACTGAATCGTTTAGTGTTAAATAACATCAACATATTAATGGTTAAGAGAAGGTCGGGTTTCTTAACCGTTCATAAGTTTTACCAAACACGTTGAATGCTAACCGATTAAGATGTGACTTCTACGCGCCAAATGTTAAACAATTCAATCGTGGCCTCTAAATGATTCCATTTGGAGGTTATCAAACCTCTTAATGGCTTTAAAAATTACATAAGCTTTTGGAAACGGCTTGATTCTTGAAATCCAAATTGTAAAAACGATGCACAAATTACAATTTTGTTGGTAGGGTTCATATTTTAATTTATTTCAGACTATTTGGATGCATATTAATTTGAAAATCGAAATCAATTTCAATTTTCTTAATCAAATGATCTACTCAGATTCCAATTTAAGCGTTGAATAGAAATACAACTTTATCATTCAACTATTTTTGTTAAGTGATCAATATATTATTGAATCCTCTTTAATAAATAAAAGTTTTTTTTGCCACATGTCATATTCTTCTTTATTTTGACACTTGTCATTTTGTGAGAATTTTAGAAATTTTATTTTCCACTTGTCATTTTTTAAGGATTTTCATTTTTTTAAAATAAAATTCCATAAAGTTGTAATAAGTTTTATAAGAAAATAAAATCATCTTATTAATTTGGTAATAAATTCTCATAAATACTTCAAATGATTTAATTTCTTTTATAAATTTTCAGAAGATTACATTATGTTATGTAAGGTATTACATTATAAAATATTTAATATTTATATATTGATATTAAATTTTTATTTTTAATAAATCTGTGTAATACACGAGTCTCACATCTAGTTTTTATTAATTGTCATACTCATCAATCTCTTGTTGAACTTGCATTGGGATGTCTTTAATATTCTAACAAGTCACAATAAAAGGCAAATCTTTATAGTTAGTAATTGTAAGTTAGACAAAAAGTTAATAATACATCTTTGATTTTTTTTTTTTTTTTTTTTTTTTTTTTTTTTTTTTTAATATTTATTACCATACTATTTACTAAATATATATGTTTAAATGATGCTGGTTACTGAATATAAAATTCATTGTTGGTTAAATTTATTTCCATATGCACACATCCTATATACATAAATATATAATTATTGTTATTAATCTTATGTTGTAAATTAATATATATATATATATATATATATATATATATATATATATAACTTATGACCGATCAAACATCAATTTTAAACATTTTAGACTGGGTTTAGTTTTATTCAATTTATGATTGAAATTAGTTTCGTGTATGATTGATTTTAACCGATCTTTTTTATGACTGTTTTTAGATGAATAATCGTTTAACTTTCGGATTGTTTTGCCCATCTATATACATTGTACAAACAAAAGCCAATGTTGATAGACATAGAGAAGGCAAGTAATTACTAAAATCACCCATACAAGTGAAGAAAACATGAAATCCCAAGTTACAAAAACCTACTACAATTATACATAATCAAACTTAAAACTTTGCAACACTCTTAATCTTAATACGCTTCCATCCTATGACGAACAGGAGTCCTAATAACTTGCAATATCTGAACCACTTCAGCCATTGAAGGCCTACTCGAAGGTATCTGAGAAGTACACACCAAAGCCAACTTAAGAACAGGCAAAACCTCATCTTCACGATACTCCCCCATTCTCATATCAACACACTCCAACACATTCCCTTCTTCCAACATAACCCTAACTTCTTCACTAAGTATCAAAACATTATCATCCCCATATTCAATCGGCCTTCTTCCTGTTACAACTTCAAGAATCAACACCCCAAAACCATAAACATCACATTTCTCATTTACCCTTAAGCTTTGACAAGCCAACTCTGGTGCCACGTAGCCCAATGCACTTTGAAACCTTTTACTCATTACTTGTTTGTCAAGTTTCGCCATTATTCTAGTCAACCCAAAGTCCGATACTTTAGGGTTGAAGTTTTCATCTAGAAGAATGTTGTTAGCCTTGATGTTGTAATGAATAATAGGTGGACGAAATGAATGGTGTAAATGGGCTAGCCCGTTTGCGGTTCCTAACAAGATCTTGAACCGGGTTGACCAAGAAAGTTGACTTGAAGTTGACGTGTCATGGAGTTTGGATTGTAAGCTTCCATTACATACATATTCTGTCACTAGAAGCTGTAATTCAGGTTTCCAGAAATACCCTTTGACCGATACAAGATTAGGGTGTCTTGCTTTTGATAAAACGCGAACCTCTCGGTCAAAATCGTCATTTGATTTCACCATGTTTGATACAATAAGATTCTTGATTGCAAGATCTCTACCTTCTTCTCCTAAGGAAGCTTTGTACACTGTTCCGATTATACCCCCACCGATCTCCGCTCCTTTGGTTAGTAAAGATTCAGGATTGGAAACCCAACCAGGGGCAATCTTGGAATCGAACCAAACTAGCTTCCCGAACGATACACTGCGAGTTGATCGGGATGAGCTCGAGCAACTCTCGAGGGCATTATCGACAAATTGCATCCGTTTTCTTGCGGAGATATTTAACAAAGTTATCACCAACACACCGATGGAGATCAAAACAGCTGCTAATATCGCGATAATGACTGAAACACTTAAGAATCTCCGGTGGTTGGTATGTTTTGACGATTTTGCCCCTGCTCCATTTTCATGACTTCCGATTTGGTCCCCGTACGCATACGGGTCGAGAACTAAAGGCTTTGGGACATCCATTTTACATGGTCCTTTTACGAAAGGTGAGCAAATACCGAGATTGCCCTCTAGAGAACTTTCTTGTAAGCTTGGAAATATACCCCTGGATGGAAGTCTTCCTTGTAGTCTATTGTAGGATATATTTACCACTAGGAGGTTTTCTAAACCACCTAGCTCCGGTGGTATCTCTCCACTTAGTTCATTAGAATCTAACTTTAGAATCTTGAGTTTTTTCAATAACGACATTGATCTTGGAATTAACCCACGCAAGTCGTTATGAGACAAGGTCCTGCAACATTTAAATGTAAATGTCAAATTACAGTTTTGCCCCTACATATATAAAGATGATAAGACTTACAGCAAATAGAGTGATGAACAGTGCCCGATATCGTCCGGGATGGATCCGGTCAGAGAATTTCCATCAAGTTGGAGGATTTCGAGGCTGCCCGAGTTGCATATATCGCCCGGAATTGACCCGTGAAAAGCTCCATTTCGAAGATCCAACACGGTTAAATTCGGAAAATTCCCGACATCCAGGGGCATTCTCGTCTCGAAATTATTCCATGATAAATTCAAGTATCTTAAATTGGAGAAAAGTGTCATTTCAGCTGGGATGTCGCCGGTTAACCCGTTTCCCGATAGATCCATGGACTGAAGGGCCGTGAATAACTGATTCGATCCAGGAGGGATCGAACCGGTTAACTGGTTCCTCGAAAGGTCAATCTGGGTCAACCCGAGTTCGAATAAACCTTCGGGTATGCTCCCATTGAACCTATTCCCTCT